CTCTTTCCCTTTTCCTTCTTATCTCGTCTTGTTTCTCTATTTTTTCCCAAGGAGGGTTAGTGGAGAAGGATTAAGTTGTTTGTAAACTATTAGAAGAAAGTACACATTGAAAATTAGAAATTGATGACATAAAGGCCGCTATTAACTATTGACCAGGGCAAGGTAGTCCACAGTCATTTTTATAGTCCTAATTTAGAATTGAGCCAAAGCTTCATCAAATTCATCTGAACAATATTATGTTCCACTTTCTTTTTGATGGAAAACATAGTTTAACATTGACGAAGGAACATCCCATTCTGCTTCTTTCTACTTCTTTAGGGTGCTTAAAGTCTTAAACCTACATATTGGCAAAAGGCATCTATTTCCTACTCTCTGATTTTTTCCAGGAAAGCTCTATCACATATAAGATTGATAATAACTTTACACATCACATTTGGCAATAATCATCTGGATTGATGAAAATGTATATAATCATCAAAGTATAAGGAAGGCCTGAACACAATACCAAACATTGTCTGGGTCATCACTTGGGTCACAAAGTGGAGGTTTAGTTCCTGCCTCACGGTCTAGATAGCAAATATTGTCAGTAGGTTTTTGCCATATTGCAATGTATCCATCTTTTTTCAAAAACTTCCAGCAGAGTCGAGTGGTGAGATTAAGCATCTCTGCAGATAACAAAATCAAATATTACATTTGTCATAGGTGCAGACAGTATTCTTAGTAATAATGAGTTAGACAAACCCTAATAATCGATTGACTGTTGAATGAAAATAGCATAAATGACTTAAAACTGAAAGGAGTAGATAAGAATGTATTTGACAATAGTTTAAGATGCTTCTTCTTGAGCATATTTTTAAGTCATAGCATATAAGACTGAAAATAACAAATGAATTATAAACATTAGAAGGGAATGTGGAAAAGATCAAACTTTTGCTTTGAATAACAAACAAATCATTGAGAAAGGTCAAAGTCAAAGATTGATGATTAACAGGTTGAATGTTAATTCTCTATCATCTGGAGACACTTGTGAAAACCATTTAGTGTGCACAGCACATCATACAAAGCTAACATTAATACAAAGAGGTACAAATTTGAGCTATCCTTAAAAACACTAACTCCATAGGCAAAAAGGCTAAAAAAAATTAACTATACCTTCCCATTGTTCTTCTAAAACTTCTTCATGCTTATAAACTGGCTGGGCAGCCCAGACAAAGTACCCTCCTGCTCTGAGCATCCTATTGACTTCAAGCAGCAGTATCCCATCTACATCAGAATAAGTTTTAAACATAAAAATTCATTACACAAATAATGATGTTTACATATCACACTAGCAAGAAAAGTGGCAGTTCCAACATGCATTCTCTAGTTTCTATTAGTTAATTAACTGTTATAGACCTCTCCATATCATTTTTTATTCATTATTACCAATAACTATTGCACATCATACAAGAGAGAAAAACACACACCATCTCGAGTCCAATTAATTCTACAGCGTGAACAATGTATCAAGTCAAAAGCTTGACTTGGATATAACAATCGTCTAGTCGCAAATGCTGCAGCCATTGCTGGTACACCTCGCTCAAGAGCAAACTGAATCTGATTCTCATGAACATCCTTGGGAGCAACAGACATGGCAACCACATTCCGTGACAGTAAGTACGCACCAAAACTAGCAACTCCACAGCCAACATCAAGAACAACCCTTATATGCTTACCAAATGTAATATCAGGAATCATCTACAAATGCAAATGTCCAAGATCAGATTTCTATAAGATGCACCTACATTACCCCCAATAAAACCAAAAGCAAAGCATACAAAAGCAATATAATAATAACCTTAGCAATATGGTCCAAGTATTCATTTGCCCCGTGTATAAACTGCGTACCTCCTCCCGGGAACTTAAACTTATCATTGTCTCTGGAAATCCAGTTTTGGCCACCTTTATCTTCAACAAGACGTGTATGAGGAACATTATTGTACCATACCTACACCAAAATAAAAAACCTTGCACTTATGCAAATCTTTAAAAAGGAACATTATTGTACCATACCTACACCAAAAGCAAAAAAGAAACCTTGTACTTATGAAAACCTTAAAAAAAGGAAAAGTTAAATAGTACAGGTGCTTTTGTTATTGTTCTCTAGTCAAAATTGAAGTTTCACCTCAATAATCCAAGTTAACATTTCATGGAAACCTTTGTTAAGTGGATCGGCGAGGTATAACTCTATTTCTTATCTTAGAACACCAAAAGCTCTCATGAAACTGCATTTAAGTTTTTTTTCCAAAACAAGGTAATTCAAAATAGTCCAAACCCCCATTAGTCTCAATTGGAAGAGAGAATCAAAAGGGCAACATTTTGACCTCATCTCGGCTTCTGGGCCACGGAATTGGGGTTCGGTACCCTCTGGGTGCAGGAACCAAGCAATTCAACCCTTGACCTTCCTCAGGGCAATGCCGCTCGAACCTCTCCCCTTTCTCCGTCGATTGCAGCTTCCGAATCGCGTCCTCGTTGTCCAAACACGGTATATACTCGCGCATCTCGGGCGGGCACAACCCAAACTTCTTAATCGCAAATCCCAAATTAGAAGAAGAAGAACCCTCGCCCTCAACCTGCGTCTCGTTCACCCATTGCTCCACCATGCCCGGATCCAAAGCCCCCACCTCAAAGTCATCGGACATAGTGCCATTCTCACTCACAACTCCCAGTTTCTCAATTAAGTCCGAGTCTGCTGGCGGCGCCGGCACCGGCAGCGCATTTTCCAGCTGGGTGGTGTTCTGATCGATCAAAGCGGAGAGGTTGAAGGATTTGCCGTAATTGGGTGACGTGGACACGACGGAATTAGGGTTAGGGTTGGGACTTGGATCCGGGTCGGAGCGTTGGGTGGTGAAGAACACGAGCTGCTGGTAGCCATCGGACCAGTGCTTGCCGAAGTAGAAGAATGTGACGGCAATGAGAGAGAAAGCGGCGATCTTGAGAGTGAGGGGTGTTCGGAGAAAATCGCCTGCCATTGGGGATTTCTCGATTCAATTCATGGATCCGCAAATGAAGGGTGCGATTCAGAATGCCTCCTTTCGAAGCAGCTATTCACATCTGAAGATGGAACTTGAAAGTGTGTGCAGTGCCAGTGAGTATGACCGCGTTTGTAAGATTTTGCAGGAAATTAGTACAGAGTTTTATTTTTGTTAGGACAGCGTGGCAGTATAAACGGAGTTTTTTTTTTTTTTTTTTTTTAAGTAATGGATGATGACAACATGAATAAAAATAAATAGCACTACTTGTTGATAAAATAATTATTTTTTGACTTAAATATGTTTTTAGTTTCTTAAATTTAAGATAAATTTATTTTTAGTTCTTCAAATTTAAAATTGCTATTTTTAGTTCTTGTAATTTTCAAAAATTTTATTTTAGTTTCTTAGATCACCAATAATATATTTGAAAGTGACTAATTAAAACAGTTATGCAATATCAATCGGATTAAATATGATATTTTCACTAATAGAGATACCAATAGGTAGATTTTATGTAATAATATTTGATAAATTTATTAACAAAATTTGAATATAAGGATTAAAATAATTTTTTTTTGAAATTATAGGGACTAAAAACAACAATTTTAAATTTGAGAGATCAAAAACATATTTACCTTAAATTTAAGGAACTAAAAACATATTTAAACCTTATTTTTTTATAGCATTATTATTTGTTTGATTAATAAAAATAATAATAAAAATGTGAGAAAAAGAGTATAGACAAATAAAAATGAAATAATTATTTAGTTGTTTGAAAATATGTATGATATAAATGTTCAATTGGAGGAGAGAGAGTAATAAAAAGAAATGGGAGAGAGTAAATCAAAATTGATTTGAAAACAAATAAAATTTGATAATTATTTGACAAAGTGAAAAAAAAAATAGTATTTTAAAAATTATATTTTATATAATTAAATTTTTATTTAAAATAAATAATATATAAAATTATTATTGTATTCTTATTTCTATATTTACATATCAAAGTAGTATAATCAATTATATTAATTAGTATAATTAATTATGCTATTTTATAGAATAAATGATTATAAGTTTCTACTTGTATATAAAAGTGGGAATAAGTTAGATTAGATTTAGTATATATAGCTTGTTTTATAAAATAAAAGTTTAAATTTGATTTATTATTTATCATAAATTTTACTTGACCTTTTAAAATCTAACAATACTTATTAATTTATTTAAAATATATTTTAATATTAGTTTATTTAAAAATCTATCTTATATTAAGAATGTTAATTGTTAAATAGGTCAATAAATTTAAATTTTTAAATAAGTTAATAATTAAATTTTTTTAATATATTTGCAAATCTTTGTCTAATTTGCATGATAATTCTTTTTTAAATTGTATAAAAAAATATTTTATTTGAAATATGATAAAAGTTAACTGTATTGAATTATAAAACTGAACTGAATTATAAAAATTGAACTATTTTTATAAAAGGTAAAAATTAAATGTGTCTAACATGTTATGTCTTAATGGATTAACTCGATAGTCTAATAACCAAAACTTTAGAAGAAAAAAAAAGTGATCCAAAAAAAATTCTATCAATTTTGTCAAATCTAACGGATCAATTGAGCTATGTTGGACTACTTATTTTTAGGCTTAAAATTTACTGAGTTTGTTTGACTTAATTTTATATTTTTTTCTTTGAAAAATTTAAATAAAATGGAAAATAAAGTAATGTTGGCAAATGTGTCCTATTTTGATAGATCAATGAGTCAAAATTGTTCAATTCAAAATATCATAACAGTTCAGTGCAATTTAAATTGCAGTTCAGTTCAAGTTTTTATAGTATAGTTCAGTTTAGTTTAATGATACAAAAAAATAGTTCAGTTCAGTTCGTCTGAACTAATATTTAGTTTAGTTCAGTTTATGAGAACTATTTTTAAGTTCAGTACAGTTTTTATAAGTTCAGTTCAGTTCAATTCATTTTGCCCACCCCTATGCATGAGTGTGAATTTTTGCAGCAAATTAGTACGGTACACAATTTTACACTTTTTTATAATGCTACTGGTTGATGAAATATTTATTTATACTTTTTTATAGCATAACTATTTACACATTGTTTGACTTCTAAAAGAAAGATAAAGAAAAGAAACTGAGAAGAAAAGAATATGAATAAAAAAATTAGATGATTATTTAATTATTTGGTAAAAAAATAGAAAATGAATGAAAGAAAAGTTAAGAGTATGCGTAAAAATAACATAAATTTTTGTAATGCTTTATCTTATAGAGAAAGATGAGTTAAACAGAATGTAAGAGAATAGGTGAAAATTGAAAATTGATTTGAAAGGAAGTAGAGAGTAATATAATAGAATTTATAATTGTTTGATATAGTGAAATTAGATAAATAAAATAAAATAAAATTTATATTTTAAAAATATATTTTGCATAGTTAGATTTTTATTTAAAAATAAGTAATATATATAATTATTATTTCTGTTTCTATTTATAAGATCTAACTTAAAATAATTATTTGTTCATTTATATAAAATTTACTTCACATTGTCTTATATATTGATTATTTTAAATTAAAAGTAAAATATCCTTAGTTAAATTGTGTTATCTTAATTTGATAAAATGTATTTATTATAAACTTTTAAAGAGCAAGTACTCTAATTGATTAGGAAGAATATGAGTACCAATTAAGAGAGATAAATAGTATAAAACACGCACTCTAATTGGTTATAAAATATATAATCATTAATTAGAAAAAGAAAAGTAGTACAAGAGAAGTTTAAAAAAATGTAAATAGGATAAATTTATTGTTATCAACTAAATTAACTATTTTTCTTGATTTTAATAAACTAGATAATTTGATCCTATATATAGAAACAAATGTAGTATTATATTAAGACTAAGTGTAGGGTAGACTACCTCTAATTGGTCTATGGTGGTCCATAATGTTTAACCATTAATTTTATCTTATAGATTGTATGCTACATTTGTTGTACTAGAGTATTCATTCCTCCAACTTTTCACAACTCTTCACTTGCTCCATCCTAACTTTGTCGTCCCTTTTCTCCACCCTAACTTTGTCACTATCCCTCCACCCTAACTCCATGTCATTTGCCAAATCTCTTGTACTGCACATGACTTATGGTGTCCCTAACAAGGAATGTCTAATGGTCATAAGAGCCTGTTGTTTAAAGCGTATGATGGGGGGCTCCCAATCTTCATGGCAAGGAAAAAATCGCTAATGACAAAATGACTAACCTTAATGTTTTCACTTTTGAGGAAAGCAATGCACATGGCTTGCGTGGGGTGCGGGTAAACCTATTTATGTTTAACTTCTTGTGGGTGAAGGGTTAGTGCTCTTGTCCTTCCTCACATCGGAATTGTGAGTCCAACATTGTTTGTGATTGTGGTAAAGTTGGGTTGATCTTCTCCATCGACAATGAGTTTGCAATGGTAACTAGGAGTATAAATAGTTTTGTGATGGTTAACAAGTGTCGTTGTGGACAAGCACGATGGGAGAAAGTGGAGTACTTATCCACTTCTTAGTGCTTTTGAAGAAAAAGAGAATGAGGTGTGATTTAGTGTGGGATAAGCACCATTATATTATCGTGAATATTAAATTGATCTAATGGTTAAAAAGTGTGGAACAATGTGAAATATGAAAGCAATGCACCCTAATCTTGGTATTATATTAGTATCAACTTGATACATAGTGTGTTTTTAAACATTTCCTTTTTATTTTATATATACATGTTAGACGCAAGTTGTATGACGCTAAGCGTGGGTAAGGTAGAGGGCTCCTTGCCTTGATGACGTTAGGTGCATGTTGCTTTAATTTAACTTGTTGCTTTATGGTGAAATTGGTGAACATGTATAGAATAGTTGTATCTATTACGTGTTGTATGATAATTAAGTTTTGTTGTGTGTTGTATGTTGATGTATGATGTTGAATATATATATATATATATATATATAATTTTCTACGTTAATTTTTGAGAAACTTATTACGAGGAGGGATCCTTTTACTCCAAGAGTAAGTCTACCTATACTTAATTCGTTTAATAACTCATGTTCTACATCAAATTTCAACGATCTAACCGTTCAATTTAAAATTCTTAATGCATAGATCAAATCTGCAAATTTTTAGAAAATTTGAAAATCATTTGATACTTCATTTCATTAATTCAAATTGACATATAATCATAAGATTATTTTATACATTGATTCGAATTAATGAAACGAAATATCAAATGATTTTCAAATTTTCTAAAAATTTTGCATATTTGATCTATGCATTAAGAACTTTAAATTGAACGGTTGGATCATTGAAATTTGATGTAGAACATGAGTTATTGAACGGAGTAAGTCTAGGTAGACTTACTCCTAGAGTAAAATGATCACTCCTCTCTCTATATATATATACACATACACACACACACACACACACACACACACACACACACATATATATATATATATATATTGATCTAGGATAGTGTATAACTGATTAAATGGTTGAAAATTGAATTGAGTTACATGTTGTTTAGTTGAGTAGTTGTGTTGATAATGTTTTGACATTAAAGTTGTATTGTGTTGATTGATCTTTGACTAAATGATAAGCGTTTTTTTTTTCAAAGTTGCACCTTCTATTATGAGGATATTGTTTTGTGATACTCTGTGAGTCCAATTTGTTGAAAAATCCTTATTGAAAAGTTAACTTTTGAAGTGGATAGTTGTGTCTCATCTAAAACCTTGGTTGATACGGTATGTAGACCAAGTCAAGACATATCGACTACAAGCGACCAATGTTGATTTGTATGTGAACAAGGTCGAGGCACATATATATAAAGCGACCAAATCAATGTAAGGTACAAGATCAGAGAGTAGAATCCCTAACTAAGTATTGGAAAAACATATTACTTGGAGGGTAGTCGACGGGTTAATCTCATAAGTGGCTTGGTTATGCTAGTTAATATCATGGTAGTCTCACACTCGAATTGTTCTACTTTGACAAGAATACTAGACCTCCTAGTTTTAAGTGAGAACATCTAAGAAACTATTAAAAAAACCTAAGTCTCACATTGAATAAAGATAAGACAATTAAATAATATAAATAGAGAGCAATCCTCACCTTACAAGTCTATTTTATAGGGTTGAATTAGACTAAAATCCATTATTTTAAAAGAAACTATGTTGTTAGGGATTAATATTCTAATTGGTTGTTGATCTAACTAGATTGAAAAATTGGATTGTTGATTTTGTAGAGTTAAGTCACTTAGACAACCTATTCATGTTGTAGGATATCTTTATAGTTGAAATACGTGACGACACATATAATTATTGAGTTATGCATATGATGTGTTGATTGAGTTGTATTGTTTGTATGAGATGTTGACTTGTGATGATTGTGTTGTTGTGTTGTATGTTGCATATGCTATGTTGAAAACGTTGATTTGAGTTAAGTAATAAGTTGAACATAAAATGATGTTAATATGATAGTCACTCATATTCTATGTTGTATATGCTCATTTTTTGAACCCTAGCTTAGCTTACCATTATCTAATTTTTGTGTGATTGGACTATGATGATCATATTCGATATAAAGCAGAGCAAGAATAGACTTAAGGATATGCGCTTTTGAGGTCTTTTAAGAGACAACTATATATATATAGAGTTAATCACCTATACACTGTCACTGTCGATGTAAAGTTTTTTTACACGGACAACCAATTATATCTTTTAATTATGTCATGTCACTGTAAACATATTTATTTTTAACAGTAACATTACACAATTAAAAAATATAATTGGTTGTTAGTGTAAAAAAACTTTACACTAACAGTGTATAGGTGATTAACTCATATATATATAT